TGCCAGGGTCGAGCTTATAGTGGATCACACTATTTGGGAACTCGATTCGCTCCTAGGAAGGCGATCGGACGTACGGTCCACATTCTGTTTGTGAATCGGATACTTTTTTGATATCTCCTTCCCCCCCCACCACCGCTACCACTACGGCTTTCAAACTGCAACATTTTCACAAACGGTTATGCCTGTTGTTTCCAGGAAAGTTTCTGGGAAGCGAGGATGCTTTGGAGTAGAGTTCAGGAATGATATTTTGAACTTCCCACCCACCCCTCCCTCCAGATGTCCAGCCCCTACGTACCTTCAGCCTTTCACCAACAGTTTGAGTTGCTGAGCAGCGTTCACTACCAGCTAGATCTATAAGGTTTATGTGACTGGTGATGCTACGATCACGTTGCTCTTCATCTGCAAATTCCGCCTGGAAGAAAGGAGATCACTGCATTCAAGCCAAAACAAAAGGGAGAGAATAAACAGACATCTAACAAGTTGCTCAAAGTAAAAGGGAAAAAAATAAGCAGCCCACACACTCCACACCCTTTCATTTACTTTTTACAGAATACCTTAATGTAAATTAACACACACACACACGGTCTACTCAAGTTTGACTACTGCCTCTGTCTAGTACCTATAGAAATTGAGTTAGATGACTAAAGATCAGGTAAATATAGACTAGAAAAGCCTCATGGCTAGCTCTCGTGTTAAAAATAAGTAATCCAGTGGTGAGAAAGGTGAGGGGAAGAAAGAAGGAAAAAAGGATTATAAAACTGGATGAAAAACAACCCCTGCAAGTTATTTGTGAATAGAGGAAGCTGATAGTTCGCAGACTTTTGGGGAGTTCTACCTATTTTGCTTCTGTTTTCAGGCTGATCTCTCCAAGTTAGGTGCTGTCTCTTACAGATCTCAAATGAGGTGATGTAGTACCCCTATATCACGGAGGTACATGAGCAAGAGATACCCAGAGGCACAGGAAAAAAATTCTCCCTGAACAGTGCTTAGAAATGAGCAGCAAGCATCCACAACATCTTCCAGCACAGTCACACTGTGTCACCTGCAGGAACTCAAAGACTTCTAGTTTGCCCCATGTTCTTGGGCACCAAGATGTGTTGGCACCAATATGAAATAAGGTCTGGCCCCAGTGTGGCTTCCACACACACCTTAAAAAGGCACTCAAACTTGACACTACTCCTAGGTGCACCAGACTAGACATTTTTATCATTTCTACAATAGGGTACCCTGGCACTAAAATCTGCTCATCAAAGCACATAAAATAGAAGATACATTAAGGACTATGCATTTTAAAGTACCATTTTACAAAGCGAAACTTATGTTCCCTCCCAACAATTCTAGGCAGCACACAAAACAGAACTTTCCACTAACACATTTGAGCAAGTAATTAAAATAGAACATTAGGCAATACTTTTGTTTGTGTCATGACAAGGGTGAAGACTGAATGAGACCTAGAGCTCTTGTCATTCATCCCCGTAGCAGCTGTTGCTCTCTGTTTATTTCCTAGCTCAAGCCAACCCTGTAAGAAAGAAGAGTTGAGATATAAAATTTAAAAAAAAAGTATTTGTAAATAAATTTAATAAAAGATGACTATATGAGGTTGAAAATTAAACTCAAGACGATCATGTGGGAAGTGTGACACTTGTCTGTCTGAGCCTAGAGGGCTCAAAATTCTATTACCTTTCATCACCAGATGAAATATTATGGAACCCTGATCAGGCCTCAAGTTATTTTCTTCCCATCCATAGTATTTAGCTTTCAGTAGGAAAGAAAAGGAACAAGAAACACTTGCATTCACTTTTAGTACAAAGAAAGTCTTACCTGGATATCAGAATATGAACTGACAACATTCCTAGGTGGAGAGAAAAAAAAAGTTTGGGTTCAAACTGCCTGTTTTGTTTTTATAGCATTCCCTCCTACTTGAGTTATGAAATATTTCCTAAGTTACAGACAAAATACAAATACAGCATGAAAGGTAAAGTTCTGTCAAGACTTCCACATATATTTGTTTCACTGAAATCAAATGGAAATACAGCAAGTAAAGTTAGACAAAGATGCAAGTTTTTGTAGAAGCAAAGCTCTGATCTTGCCAAATCCATTGGCAAATATACAAGCCTGCCCAGAGTCTCAGTATGATAACTGGGACAGCATTTCAGAGTTAAGCCAAGGTGCTTAGGTGCTTATTAAAAGGAGGATAGTTAAGACTTACACGGTCAGGTCTTCCACATACGGTCCTAACACTGGGTGTTCTCTTACACGGAGCTGGTAAGTAATTTTAGAAGAGGAATTAATTAGTAATCTATGAACTGGACATAGCACTCATGAATTTCTTAATAGAGAGATTATTTTTCTAGTATGAAACTTATCACTAATAAAATTCAGAACAAATTTGCAAATTGTTTCATGAACAATTTTCTTGAAGATGCTAGCAATTTATTTTTTATAGTTGCATGAGAATTAACAGTAAACTGCACCAGACCATTGCTTGTAGAGCTAACCATGCAAGAATATTTGGATAAAACACCAAAAATATCCTCATTATGAGAGATTTACATAATAATTGTGATGCCACAACATGGAAGGTTTTAGAGCAGAGTAAATCAATTTTATGGCTCCAAGTTCAACAGAAGATTGGCTTAAAACCAGTGAAAAATACTAACATACGTACTTCTGCTGTAAGCATGCCAGTATGTTTTTTTTTTTTTTAATCTCTGTACAACTGGTCCAGAGAAGTCTTATTTCAGCAAGAAGTTATACGTAGTACAGCCTAAATTGGCAATATCAAAATATTTATCCTCAATTAAACATTTTGATATAGAAACACAGAACTTTTTCCTCTTTGCACTAAAGAAAAACATTTTTCTTCTGTTAGATACATGCATATATACCCTGTTGACTGCAAAGGTAAACAAGCATCACAGCAGGAAAAAAAAGAAACAACACACAAATTTTCAGGAAACATATGAACACTAAATAAATTTAGTAAAAAGAACAAAAAACAGAAGTTTGTTACAACAATGGTAGGCTCTTAACTGACAATTAATGACCAATTGACAAGAGATAGCTCAGTTATATAGCGCAAAGCTTGATGAAATCCAGAGACTTCATAGATTAAAAATAAACTGTTATTAGTATCTTGTTATAAAGGCTGATTATACCTTCCTCATTTCAGGAGAGATGCCAAACAACGGAGGGCCAACCTACCTGGCCTCGCTTCTATTTCAGCAAGACTTATGGGTTAGGGATTCTTAAATACAAAAGGTTTTGCTTAGAAGTTACACAGGGAAGTTTTCCAAATTCAACTCCAGTCATTCACAGTAGTCTAAAGTACTTAGATAAGAAAGCAATAATCACTTGTCATTTATGCCTTTTTATTTAGGGAATAGATTTCACTACTTTGAGATAGCAAATAAGTATGCACATTGATTTCTGTGAATCACTTACAGGTTGTTTCTTCTGTCCACTTTCAGCTTTAAATACAAGCAAATCATGAATTTTCTCATTGTAAACTTCAAAATAGCTCATTTCAAGATGAAACAAAATCTTAAAGAGAAAAATAAAGATTTTATTCTTATATTGTGTAGTCTGTAGCAGTTTTATCGCTTGATAAATTAACAGACATAGATTACCAGACACTACTATTCAGTGTCACAAGCCTTTACACTGAAGCGATCTCTCAAGGGAAATGATATTTTAACCTAGGGATCTGCTATTGCTGAGCACAGTTTATTAGAATTTCATCCACACCCTCTACCAGGTGATAAACATCAGGAGTGTATACATCATCCCCAAAAGCATCAGCAGTGGGTGTTCAGCACACAACAGCTCTGTTAGCTCCTGCAGTCTCTTTCCCTTAGGCACCAGGTTTCCACTTACAACAGGGCATTGACTGGTGGTGTCAACACCCTGACATAGGGATTATTTTCTCTATTAGGTAATAATCCTTTAACTAAATACTATTCACAGCAAACTCAAAAGTACTGAACAAACTCCCATGAAAATATATTTTCCTTTCAACACCCATTGGGCTTTTGAAGGAATGCATTTATAAATGGAGTTTTGGCTTACAAGGAGGAAGACCACAGCAAAAACAACTCAAATACCTACAAGATACAAGATGATTTGTAGCAACAGAATCACTCAATATGCATGAGCAAAGAGCAGCAAACCTGCACCTGGTAGCTGTTCATTTATTACTAGTCACACACTCTAGGCAAATTCAGTTAAGCAATAGCACTCAAATTTCTCACTGCCTGCCAATCTAGTGAGAGGTTAAAATATTATGAGTTTATTGGTATTATTCAAAACCATGAATTCATACATAACATGTTAAAGAGACTTGGAACTTTAAAAAAAAGTTTGCCTACATAAACCTAACTGACTCTTCATTCAACTGCTTTACAGCTTGCTATCAAACATCTAGAGTTAAAGATGCACACCTATTTAAAATGCACCTGTACTGACCCAAGTCAGTCCCTGCAGATGTAGGCAAAATATCTATAAAATACAAGTACAAAAAATAACCTTAGATAAACATGCTTTAAAGTGAGAATTTTATTTACTTGATAAGGAATACCAATACTCTTAAAATTTTTAAAAGCATTCAGAGTCTCTAAACAAGTATTATGGTTCATGTTACTACCAGACAGCTTTAGTCCTGTTCACATCTCAAGTGTTACATTCTTGTTGAGCTGGTTTCTCAAAAGTGATTCTTTACTAGATATTCAAGCATAGAAAAAACCCTCAACAACAGCCTGATAGAAAAAGTATATCTGGCAAATGCCACAAAAATGTTTCTTCTAACTATAGAATGCAAGAAGTTCTGTATGTACTTATGTAGCATGTACTTTTGAAGCACTTATTTACAAAGTTACCTTCTAGGTCTCACACACTTGTTCACAAGATTTTCAACTCGTTGGGGAGCTCTAATAACACTCTTGCCGCATTTCTACAAGGAAGACAGCTTTATCCAAACTTGAATCTAAGATTCAAGTCAACTGTGGCTTCATCAGTTTGACTATTTGCCTGCTAACATTTCAGCAAATTTCTTCCTGATGAATGCAGTTGTGCACAGAACCACTGAGCTAGAAGAGACCTTAAATGATCACACAGCTCATTACTACTCCAATTCAAATATGCAGGTCATTGCCAACAGAAATCTGTCCATACTACTCATGAAAAACACCCCTTAATGTCTCCATAAACCCACAGCAACTCTCTCCAGCCTTATCATCACAAACTATGGACAACTTCCTAATCTTAGGTTGAAATGATATTATCAACTGTACAAAAGCACGTTTTATTCTTTCATTTTACACTGATCTCCTCATAACTCTATACTAGCACAATAGCATATATATTTTGTTACCTGTTGCTTGTCCATTTGTGCTACTCGACTGAAGAGATCTTCACAAAATCTTGGAATTATTCCTCGATCTTCCTCAAATCCCATCATTCTGTGGTTACAAGAAAATATGTTTTATATATGCATTCTGTTTTCTAACTCTCCAGAGCAATACCCTAATTTTATTAATTTTGTAGTTACCATAAAAGAAAGAAAGCATAAGCAAAAGAAGTGACTAGTTATAGAAATAAATCTGATCCAGGCTGGCCCTTGAGTAGGGGATTGGGCAAGATGATGCACAGAGATCCTTTCCAACATATTTGATCCATGAAGAAGTGAGGTGAAAACTGAAGTGAACCAGAACACCTAGAACAACTGAAGACCAAGTCAAATTAAATAGTAAGCCTACAGATGTTTGATACTCCACATATACTTATTTTATATTCTCTGCATCCTGCCAGAGTAGTAACCCAATTTCCTCTCCACCTCCAATACTGTCTCCCATCTAGCTCTGCCATATAGAAAAATCTGTATATTGATCTAATTCAACTACATCAATCAAATCTCAGCTCATCACACAGCTGTATGACACCTGGCCTTAAAGCACAGTTATTACCCATACTAATTTCAGCCAGCTGAAAGTACACAGGAGTCAAGGTAAATAATTAGTTTGGGTGGGGAACAGACACCACTACTAGGTGTCAATTTTTATTATATATTCTTTTTAGGACCAGATTAAAAAATAGTGCTCCCACTTCAAAGAAAGAAAGAAAAGGTAGAACTTGCACAGGGGCAGGACATTCTTATATTAATAACTTTATATTCTGAAAATGCATAGTTGAAGGTAAACACCAAGTTCTTCATTGAAGTTTACAAATTCCATAGTGCTTCATGGAAATAAAGCCCATCAAAGGGTTTAAATATGTATAGCTAGAAAGAAAACAGTTCCTATCATAACCTATCATAAAATGGGCTATAAAGTCTCAGAAGGGGGTGTGAAAATAGATTTTAAATAATTAGTGGCACTTGGATACATGGACCTAACTTCATTCTGAACAATCACAACTTGAATCACTTACTAAAAGTCTAGCCCTAAAACCTAATGTACTTCACAAGACATCAGTTCTCTGTCTCTCTCACACACCCCGCAATGAAAAGCACTCTCCACATTCATACAGATTTTTCTCTTTGAAATGCTTTGAGAATCTTATTTTTCTTCACAAAAAGTAGAAAATAGTTAGAAACAGATGAACACAGGAAACATCTACAGCTATGCCTAATTAATAAATATTAATAAAAGTGTCTATTAATATTTTAACTGGCTTTAAAATATATAAGAAACCTGAACAGAATTCAGTAATTACTTATTCTACATAACCCCTTTTAAAGAGATTGCATAAGAATTGTCTCCTACAGAATGCAAGCAGTTATCAGAAACTTACGTGTATGATTTTCCAGAACCAGTCTGTCCATAAGCAAAGAGACAAGTGTTGTACCCCTCAAAAGCTTTTTCTAGGAGTGGCACTGCCAAAGTGTTATAAATCACTGCTTGGTTTGCAAAGCTTGGGTGACACTTGTCAAAAGACCAGAAGGAGAAGTCATAGCTGAAGCTGTAAACCTGGTTTGTATCCAGGTTTTGTACCACTGTCTCTGACCCACTCACGGAGACCACAGGGAAAGCATTTTCATTTTTCTCTCTGAAGAGAAAGCATAGAGAGGAGAATAAATAAAAAAATAAATAAATAAAACAACGTAAGCTACATTCTGTTGTAGTACTAATTTCAATCATATGGTCTTATGGAAAATAAAAAGTTGAGTAAATAATTTTAAAAGTAATTTATGTGTATGCACAAAGTTTACAATAAAATCTGTCTCTAAAGAATTGAACATCCCATTTAATAAACATATGAAATATTGGAACACTTCAGCCAGGGAATATTTTAAGAAAGCCCACAACAACCAGAAAATGATGAATTCATTTCTTAACAAAATCTTTAGATCACTACTGTATGAAATATTTAATACTTTCAAAAGTTCAGTATAACTCTTTAGCATATCAGTAACTAAAACACCTCAAAAATAGGAAGCAAGAACCAACATGTGCTATAAACGCTATTTTTTTTTTTTTTAACATGAGCAACAGCTCCAAGATACAAACCTGTTACTGAAAGGCCGTACACGAACAGCTACGGTCACTTTGCTGTTTTCTGCTTTGAAAATATTTTTCTTGGGGCTATTGGCGTCAGCTTCTTCCTTAGAAGCCAGCACATATGTTAGATTCTCCTCTGCTTTCGCACCTCTACTGACAGAGGGAGAGCTGGGGACACTCATTTTCTTTTTTGCTACAACTTGAGGATGAGATATTTGCTTCTTTGAAGCAGATACTGAAAAAATTCTCATATCCTGAGTACTATGTTTTGGGGTAAGCTTCAATCCTTCTGTTGTATCTTTTCTTGGTGTCCTTGGCCTTTCCAAACTGTTGTGTTTTATAGTTGAGTTTTGTAACCTTTCTTTTCCAGCTACCTTACTTAAATTGCCTTTTTCATTCAGCTGTTCTAATGTCCTATTACTATATTTTGAGGTAATCCATTGCGCTGATCTAGAAACTTCATTTTGCAGCTTTTTATCTGAAGTGGGTGTCCTATATTTTAAATGCATGCAGCTATCATTTTCAGACAGACCATCAAGATTACTAAGCGAATCCTTGCTGCTCAGATTAGAGTGCTTCCTCATATTGGACTGACCTTCAGCTAATCTACAGCTTGGTTTAGCATAACAGGTATCATTACTACCAGTACTTTGTGGGAGTACAGTCTTGGAATTTCTTTGGGCAGCAACAGAACCCTTAGTTTCTATTCCAGACACAGTATTCTGATTTATTTTATTCTTCTCCATAGGGTCAGTCCTCACAGGTCTCTGCAGAGCAAGTCTTTGCTCAGTTTGTATATCTTCTGCATCCCGCGCTGATTTTTCACTCAATTGTTTACCACTGCAAACTGATTCTTTGCTTGCTGTTGTTTTCCTCTGAAGCATTGATTTATCTTCAGGCTTAAACTTAATTGGTGTATCACCAGCTTTTTTACAGGCAGAAATCACATAAGTCCTGTTTACTTCTTTGGCCTTATTCTGAGAGCATGAAACTAGATTATCTTTTTTGTGCTCTGATACCTCTGATTTCAGCTGCTCCCCAAACTTCTTGCTGCTGGAGAAGGCATTTTGTGAAGAATTCTTCTGGAAATCGGTAGTACGCTGCACCTCAGAGAGGCTTCTCGCAGGAACTGTGTAAATAGACATTTTTTCTTCCAACAAGTTAGTGCTGAGACTTTTTAAAAAAATATGGACATCTTTGAAAGGTTAAGTCCATTTCCATGTGCTCCTCCTCTGGGAATCTTAAAAGACAAAGTAAAATTTTTAGTGTGATTATGGCCAAGGGGAGTTACATTAAATATGGGGAACGTTGTGCATACACTGCAGTAAATATTTCCCCTACAAAATCAATAAGTAACCCTACTTGCCCTTATGCACTTAAGTATATACTTTTTTTTTCCTCCTCGAATTATTATTCTATAGCTTCTTTAGGAAGCAGATATCTGCTTCAGTAGCAGTGGGCTATTTGATTCCATCCATCAGGTGATACAGTTTGTGCTGAAATCAAACCAAACACCATGAAGAAGGCCTAGCAGACACAAAAAGTCCCTTTCTCCCAGTTCACGAGCAGCAGTTTCCAGTCAAACGGATTCAAGATCATGCCTCTCTTCACTGGCAGACATTTACACTCACAGTATTTCACACCTAGTGACAAATGCTTTGCCACTGGGGCCAATGGGAGCGCAGTTCAGTTCCCTCAGGTGCTTTAAGAGCCCCAGACAGTATTAGCAAGGGAAACAGACAGGCAGAATGGGGAGAAAACAAAAGAAAAGAAAAAATAAAGTGACAGCCAGCGAGACAGACGTCAGGGTCCAAGCATGACCCGTAGGGAAGTTCCTTTTATCCCTATATTTTCCAGCTGCTTCTTCGAAGCGCTTTCCTCCTCTCCTGAAAGGAAGGAGGAAGATTCCAGAAGTCCCAACCACAACACGCCCGTTTCTCACACCGGTCGGCA